GTCTTCAAGATCATCCATGGATCCTATTTGCCTCTCCCATCGTCTCATTCCCCTCCCCTCCCAGCGCTCTCCTATATCGTCCCTACCATCTCGCTTTAATCTCCTTGACTCATTCTCCGCCCAGCAACCAAGGCTTCCTGTTGAAACTTACAGTCAACCTTTATTCATTCGGAGGCCATTCATTCCCATTTCTTTTGATGCAATTCTCTGGGTCTGCCTCTTACCATCCACCAATTTTTCCTGCGATCATCACTGTCTGTTCTCTCTTTATAAATGTAGTCTGAATGTACACCTCCTTGTTTACAATGATGATCTTATCTCACTGATGTGGACAGCACCTTGACAGATGCTCTGTAAATGTACTCTAATTGATTATTTCTCATTCCGCAGCCCCTACTTCCCTTCCATTCCCGTCTCCCCTCGTACAATTTGACTGCTCAGCAGATGATTTCAGTCATACCCCACTTTGTTCGTCAAGACTTGCTTGAGGCAAATATAAGTATGGTCCAACAACTTTTACGACTGACACGGCACGAGTAAGATTGCATGCAGTCCAACCAAAAAGGCTTCATCATTGAACGCTGGTTTCAAGCCTGCCCTACACACGTGTTAAAAGATCCTACTCACCCATGTGATGATAGTTGAGCCTCTGGTTGTCAGCATTTCTGCTCTGATATTGCAAATGTTGGATACTTTGATTTTTTTCATTTTTCTTAGGGTGCCTCTCACTTTATCCTCAAATGGCTCAAAGCAGAAGGTGTAGGGTCTTCGGTTGCTGTGGCCTGCATGAGCTCTTCAGAGGGATATGACGAAGAGCGATTCTGCAATTGGGAGCATAATTCTAGCATGCTAGTTTCTGCCTTCAACTGCTGAGGAGTTTGCCACTGGCATTTGTAATTGCGCAGGAAATATTGAAGCAGGTTCCCCTGAGCTGACTGAAGTTTGCAAAGTCATCTTTGATTTGACTGTTTTGAGAGTTATTATTCAACTGCTGCAGCTTTTCCCTCTGGCCTCCTCTGATCATGCCAGATCTGAGTTTTGCATTGCCTTCTTCGGTCCTTGTAGTCTTCGATGGGCCCTTGTAGCAGTTTTTACGTTCTTTTACTTCAATTAAACACCAAGTTTAATCACTCATCCATTCCTTCCGAATATTGCAACGGGTTGTTGGGCACGTCTTGGCGGCGTTATTTACATAATCTTGAAATTGGTCCCAAACTGTCGGTTCCTCATTAGACAGGAGCGTGCATTACCACTGCCCACCTCCACATTACAACCATCCACACCATCAAAATTATATCCAGTATAAACTTTATAAGCTTTCGTTGAACTTCGAGCATACTACTAAGAAATGGGGTTTACGTTCATCCCCACAAAAGAACAAAGCACCTGCCTGGGTATTCTGTGTCATCGTATTCTCCCGTCCCTCCACTCCCCATGAGGAGTGGGGCAGTTTTGGACAGAGCGGAACATTTTTTCATACCTGGAAAGGGTGCTTATGACCAGCTCCAGTTTGGCAGCAGAGGTCATGCTCGAATTGCTTAGTTGCGTAACGCACTGAATGCTGCATGGCCTGTCGCTCCACGTAAATATCTGGGTCTTCTCAGCCAGATATCCCATCCCTTCTTTACATTTGAGAAATGTGGATCACCTTTTTAAAGGAACATCTACACTAGTTTTGCATATTATAGTTGTCTTCGATCCACCGTGGGATTAACAAACTGGATTGTGTGAGCAGCTTATATCCTTGAAAGATCTGGACAAATTCACATCAGGTAAATCTAAGGCAGGTGAGGCAGCATTGGCTGGGTTATGGAGCCCAACTGCCCAGTCACTGCGTACCCAAAACAGCTTCTGTTTGTCCAGATATGAGGAGCCTAACGCTATAGACAAGACTTTGACTGCTGTGTGACAGAAGGATGTGGAGCTGCTTTGGCTTGCCAACAGCTTGTACCAGTGGTTTCAAGATCAGCCTCTGGAGAAGTTTAGTGAAGGATTTCTGCCTCCAGTAATAACGGAGGGCGGAGAAGTGATGCTCAACGAGCGACGTGCAGGATGAGTAAAATGCAGCAAATTGAAACAGTAGGGAGCACAGGTGGTGTATCTGCCAGTCATCCCTGTCACTCAACCTATGGCACCTTTATCCTGTAACCTCCTGCCCATGAGCCTTTGACAGTCCACATGACCTCAATGTGCACTTAGCCTGGCACAAGCACTTTGTTGACGTCACCAATTTTGAGTGGCGAATGGCTGTTATTGTTATTGTGTGTATGTATCCACCCCTTCATGTGCTGTACTGGCCTTCTTAGGTGCTCACTAGCAGAAATAATCCCAATAATGTAAAAAACGACATGGGAGATTTTTCTCGTTTGTATCTGTGTATCTTTGCATGCATAGCCTATGTGTGTGTTTGTGGTGAGCCATTATGCACAACAAACTCAGCCTCAGTTATCAATAGCTCATGGTATCTACACTGGTTTTGGGTCCTCTAGGTTGAGTCTGCATTAAATGAGTGTCTGGTATAATAGGTAATCAGCAGAACCTATGAGACAAACGTGGCCAGGTGTGGTGCTGGCCATTTCTACCCCACTTTGCGTGCGGGTCTTCAAAGGGGCTCACTAACAGCACTTGACCCACCAGTCTGTGAAGCTACATGGGGGATGTTTGTGTTGAAGCTCGTGCTGTAGGCATAGAAGACGCTCGACAGTTTATCCTCTGTAGGGAGCACGCATCTGCTGTGTGTAGCGTGGAGCTGCACGATAGTGAAACCAATAGAGTTGTTGCGCCTTGGGCGTAAACATCAATGTATGTCCATTTGCCAGGGGTTTTTTGTTATAATTCCTATGGAGATGTGTGCTATATGAGAGAAAAAGCGACTGAGCCCACGCCCTCACCCCCTTCTCCCTATTGCATTATCTCCTCGTATTATTTGACTACTCATAAAATCATACGTATGTAGTGACACCGCTGGATGTCACTGTGCAGAGCCGGTCCTAACGAGGCACGGCATGCGGTGTAATGACATAACGGAAGGGAAGGAATGATCGTGGCCGAGAAGACCCGAGGCTTCGTGCGGAGCGACAGACCAGGTAGCTTCCACTCAGCATTACGCAAACAATGAAAAGATAATGCCACTCGACTGATTCGGTGTGAGACCTCTGCTGTTAAACCGGAGCTGGTCATGAGTACACAGCCCAGGTATAGGAAACGCTCCACTCTCTCCACAACTGCCCCATCACCGATTGGGAGTTATGGGGGTGGAGTGCCCGATGGTACAAAATACCCAGGTGAGTTTTTCGCTTTGGTGGGGTTCATGGTAAGGCCCCACCTCTTAGTGGCACACTCCAGTTTCAGCAGCAGCACCTCCAACTCCTCTGAGTTAGCCGCAATTACCAGGTCATCGGCATACATAACGTGGTTGACCAATAGGGAGCCATCCCTTGAGCGCACCCGGGTATCGATCAGCCTCCGATTGTGTCTGTACCAGATGGAAAATCCTCCAGTTCAGCTACTGAAGGCTTCATGAACTACGTGGTCGAAATAGATGTTAAATAATGTGGGTGCCAGAAGACATCCCTGTCGCACCCCAAGGTGTACAGGGAATGGCTCTGACTCCCGGCCACGTAGTTTTATCCAGGTCCATTCACCATCATGAAGGTTCTTAATGAGCGTGAGCAGAGGTTCAGGGACTCCGAACGCACGAAGAACAACCCAGAGCCCAGGCCTACTGATGGTGTCATAGGCCTTGACCAGGTCAATGAAGCAGAGTTGTAGGTCTTGTTGAAATTCCCTACACCTCTGCTGTAGCAGACGGACAGAAAACATGGCATCAGTGCAGGACCGCCCTTTCCTGAAACCGCATTGGGTCTCCACAAGCCTCTCCTCAGTGTGCCTAGCAAGGCGATGTTGAATAATCATTGTCAGGACCTTTCCCGGCACATTGAGGAGTGATATGCCCCTGTAGTTGCTAAAGTCTGTGCGGCCCCCCTTCTTAAATAGGAGGACTAGCAGGGCATCCTTCCAATCATGCCGATCCTGTCCAGTGGCCCAGACTGTTGTTATGATGTCATGTAGGGCAGTCTGTGCACAAACGCCACCCTCCCTCAGCATTTCGCCTGAACGGTGCCTTTCCTAGTCTCAAACTCTGGATCAGCCTTAGTTCTTCCTCAACAGATGGCACCTCAGCCAGCCTCTCACAGGGGGTGACTTCCTTTTCAATATTTGAGGCACCGCAGCCTCAGTAGGGTCATCCCCACTTTGTCCCATGATGTTTTACAGGATCAGGGATTTCCCATCCCCCAGGACCTCACATAAATGCTCAGTAAATCTGCAAACCTGTTCCTGGGGGTCAGAGAGATTGGATCACTGTTCTTTCCCCTAATGATGGTAATAGGTGGGGCACTGGAGGTTACTTTTTTGATGGAGTTAAATAGGGATTTGTGATCGTGGACCATTGAGGCAGACTCCATCTCCTCAGCAACCGCGACCAACACCCATCCTTGCAGCGCCTCATGGCTCTCCGAACCTCCGAGCGAAGGCTACGGTAAGCCTCATTCTCTGACGTGGGATGCTGTAGACGATTAGAGTGGGCCTGATGCTTTTTCTCAACCATCCTGAACACCGCCTCCGTCAGCCAGGGTCTCTGGGGAGGTCTGGGACGTGTACCCCAAACAGCCATTGCAGCTGCATGAGTCTCTGCCTGTATCTAGTGGCTTTTCATGGACAAACGCGATTTTTATACAATATTGCAGACCTCACCAAATGCGGTGGGTTACGTTCCTGTAAAATGCCGTGTTGGACAAAGCCGCATTAAACAATTCATAGACAAATAGGTTTGCATTCCTGGGTCCGAAATGATTACTCCCTCCATCTGTTTAACCGATTCTACGAGATTTCCACCCTCATTGTGCTAAAAGATGTTGAGTTGCTCTCCATTACTTGTGAGTGTGTATACTTTTTATTTTCCAGTTTCACCCCACTCAGTGCCTCTTTTCTCCCTGTAGTCTGGAGGGCTGCTCACTGAAGGACAAATCGATACCAGCTCTCCATGACATCATAATCACCAACAAAGCATTGAGGGAGCTCAGGTAAGTTATGCTGCTCATGTCTCATACGCGCTCTGATTGTTGCTACAGACAAAACAACTTTGATTCGTCATTAACACTGTTGCCTTAGAATAAAACATTAAAAAGGCAACGTTTTGGGCAATGGACCTTGATAGCATGTTTGTGTGCTATGAGAGCCATTGCCAGAAGTGTGGGGTGAGTAGTGGAGTCTATTCCAGTCCATTTAATATTCTCTTTGGTTCTTTCGGTAAAGTCACGTAGAAAATAAAATCAAATAATAATGGAATAGACGTTTCGATTGCAACAAGCAACCGTCATCAGGTAAACCACCGCACATAACCACAGGCGTTATAGGCAGCAGAGCTAAGTTGTGGGCAACAGACTGCAGTGTGCAACACAATCCACCGTTGAACTATTCTACGATCCTAGATCTGCAGTCCCTGCCATCACAGACCTGCCATGACCCGCGTTGTGAAGTATGGTAAAGTAGCTCTAATAGCATGGGGAGACCTTCATCCAGCGTGGTTGTTGTGGGCTGCGTGGGTCTCGAACTGTGAGGCGCTGCCCGAGTCTCCGTGTGAACCCACGTCAGCGTGAACCTCTCTCTGTGCTGCAGGGTGAACGACAATGACTTCAGTGAGGAGGGGAAGAAGGAGCTGAGGAGCAAATGGACTCCCAGAAGAAGCCTGCAGTTGTAGATTTATGCCGATAGGCGACGCTGGCGCTGCAACAGACGGAGCTGCCCCACGCGCGACTCGCACAGCAGCCTGGCGCATTTAACCTCAACAACTCCGATCACCGGCACCGACTCTGAGCCTGACTGAGACGACAATGAGCGGGGAGCTTTCTCTCTCTGTGAACCCCACACGAAGCCCAAGGGTGGACGCGGCTCCGAGATTCTGATGAGCGTGGTGATTCCGATGATGTGTAACTGTATTTATGAATGTGGTGTAGGGAAGCGATGTTGGGGCTCGTGGGGGAGGGGTGGCAGGGGGAATGCGGAGGGTTGCGGGGCAGGGGGTGATTTTCAATGGTCTGGCAGCTCACCTGTTACATCACGTAGCTAAAAACATTTTCATAAATGTTGCATTTGTCACAATGCCATACACACCATACAAATCGTACACCTAATATGTTTTGCTCATAACTTGCCCATTGCTTTCATATTCATTCTTGTGTCAACTCACGTTAAAATATCTTCTTTGTTATTGTGTGAACTTACGTTCAAATAAACCATTTTTTTAATATCACCTTCCTATTATTACATTACTTATCTTCAATTAAAGCTTTCGTGACTGCAGGATTTCATATTCTTTGCCGCCCGGGTAAAACTGCATGGCCGGGAGTCGAAGCCATTCCCTCTACACCTTCGGGTGCGACAGACATGTCCTCTGGCTCCCACATTAATTTACATCTATTTTTACCACGTACTTCCTGAAGCCTTCTATCTGCTACAGCTACAATTGGAGGCAGATCAATGCCCAGGTGTGGTCAAGGGATTTCTCCCTATTGCTCAACCATGTTACGTTTGCCGATCTGGTAATTGCTGCTTGCTCAGAGGAGGAGTTGGAGGTGCTGCTGCTGAACCTTGAGCTTTCCTGCTAAGAGGTGGGGCCTTATCATCAGCCCCACCAAAACTAAGCTCCTGCCTGGGTATTTTGTACCATCGGACACTCCCAATTGGTGATGGGGAAGTTGTGGAGAGTTTCCCATACCTGGGCAGTGTATTCATGATTGGCTTCGGTTAACCAGCAGAGGTCTCACTCCGAATCAGATGTGTGGCATCTTTTCATCGGTTGCATAATGCTGTGTGGAAGCTACTTGGTCTGTAGCTCTGAACGAATGTTGAGGTCTTCTCGGCCACAGTCATTCCCTCACTTCTCTATGATTGTGAAACGTGGAGAAGAGATGGTACAGGAGGATGAGGAGCTGAGTGGACTTGCCGATGACTGGTACCAGCGGTGTCATTATCAGCCTCTGTGGAGGAGGCTCTTGAAGGACTCTACTGGGCAGTTGGAGGCAGTCGCCCTCCAACAACAACGGAGAGGGGGAGGAGCGACGCTCACAACAATGAGCAGAACGCCGGGTGGCTAAAGCACAGCAAGTTGGCACAGTAGGGGGCACAGGTAGTGCATCGGCCACTCATCTCAGTCATTCGACCCGTGGCACCTGGGTCTGGCCCGTGACCTCCTGCCAGCAGGCTTTCAACACTTCACGTGACCTCAACGTGCACATAGCCTGGCACAAGCGTCGTGGTGACATCACCGCCACTTAGTGGCGAATGGCGGTTGTTGTTTGGTGAATGAGTGTGTGAATGAATGTGTGACTAAGTCACTTTGTGTGAGTTAATGTGTGTGTGTTAATCTGTGGGTGAGTGTGTGAGTGTGTGGGTGAGTGTGTGAGTGGGTGAATGTGTGAGTGTGAGTAATTGAGTGAGATGAGTGTGTGAGTGTGATTGAGTATGTGAATGTATGTCTCTGACCAAGTGAGTGAGTATGTGAGTGAGTGAGTGTGTGGGCGAGTGAGCGTGTGAGTGAGTGTTTGAGTGTGTGAGTGAGTGTGTGAGTGAGTATGTGAGTGTGTGAGCGAGTGAGCGTGTGTATAGCATGTGGGGAGCCTTTGTGTCTGTGTATTAATAGATACACACTTAGAGTTAGACTCACGTAGACTCTGCAAAGACAAATATCTCCCTATAGCCTGTAACAGACTGTAGGGGCAAGTGCTGCTAGCGAGCAGTGCCTATGAGGGCCGCCACTGTGGCACACGAGGGGGTGGGTGCCCAGCACCAACACGCCCGACCGCCTTTGTCTCCCCAGTGGCGATGTTCACTACACCCTGCACCAGGTTCTCATTTGAGGCTGAGTCGACCTAGGAGAGGCCCTGGACTGGTTCAGATAATCGTCACACACACTCTCACACTCACTCTCACACACTCAGTTTCACTCACACACACTCACACTCTCAAACACACACTCAGACAAACACTCTCACACACACTCACTCACACTCTCACACACTCAGACAAACACCGACTCACAAAAAATATCCCCCGTATAGTCTTAGACTGTTGGGGCAAGTGCTGTTAGCGAGTAGCAGCACCAATGAAGGCCGGCACTGTGGCACACGAGGGAGTGGGTGGGCAGCACCACGCCCGGCCGCCTTTGTCTCCCCATCGGCGATGTTTTTACACACCGCACCAGGTACTCGTTTGAGGCTGAGTCGACCTAGGGGAGGCACAGGATCGGTTCACATTATCGTCACTGGTGGTGTTAGCCGTGAGCGGGGATTGAACTCGGGTTACCGGGTTCGTAGCACAGCGCAATGCTAACGGCCACACTGCTGCAGGGAGCGACGTGTAGAGGGCTCCTTGTTTATTCCTCACACTTGACAGGCACAATCACTGAGCGACGTATACACACTGGGCTACACATGGCTGACCCACTCATACGGCCCCATCGCTGGCGTCTAAACTACACAGCTGGCTGACTGATACAGCGACGACGACGATGGGAGCCGTACAGCGGATCGGCCATGCGGCCGGGCGATGGCGAAGAGATGGCGGCGAAGACAGCGACGGCAGCCAAGACTCAGACCCCCACCACAGCCCCGAACCTCCGGTCACGTCCCGCTTATATGAACCTCATGGCGGTACCCCGGGGTACCATAGTACCTCGGCTCTCGAATAATGTCCGTGACGCAGTCATTTTCAGTCTTCATATTCTTTGGTTCTTTCGGTAAAGTCACGTAGATGGGAAACAACAACAACAACATAAAAACCACCGAAAACTCACTTTAAAAATCATTTTTAGTCTGTTGATGGTCGGCGATGCGCCAATCGACTCATCTCGACGAGCTGTACACGATGCACTACGGTGCGTACCGCGAGCGTTCAGGGTTTCGGTGCAATCATCCTCGCTACGTTTCGACATTGCGGAGTGTGGCACTGATTTCAGATTGATTGGTACCCCAGTCGTGGAGTTAAGTAACACCCCTGGCAAAAAAAATAGTGTCCCAGAAATAAAATACTTAATTTCGATTTTAAGCTTTCGTGACTGCAGTGATTCATATTCTTGGTTCTTTCGGCCATTTTGTATTATTTGGTACCCCAGGGTACTGCTTGGCGTGGCCAAGCCCCGCCTCCGGCCACGCCCCTTCTAGAACCTTCTAGCAGGTTCCCGGAGCTTCGCGACTGATCCCCGCCTCTGACCTTTAGCGCAGTTACGCCCTCCATAATTAACAGATGGCACCCTGTCACCACACTACTACTCCCCACTCACGCACTCACACACACATTCACACACTCACACTCCCTCACCCACACACCCACACACTCACTGACCTACTCACACACTCACAAAACACCCACAAAACACACACGCACTCACAACAACCGCCATTTGCCACTAAGTGGCGGTGACATAACCACGACATGTTGGACAGGCTATGTGCACCTTGAGGCCACGTGAAGTGTCAAACACCCGCTGGCAGGAGGTCACGGGGCAGACCCAGGTGCCACGAGTCGACTGACTGAGATGAGTGACTGATACACCACCTGTGCCACCTACTGTGCCAACTTGCTGTTCTTTAGCCACCTGGTGCTCTGCTCGTTGTTGTGAGCATTTCTCCTCTGCCCTCCATTGTTGTTGGAGGGCGATTGCCTCCAACTGCCCAGTAGCGTCCTCCACGAGCCTGCTCCACAGAGGCCGATCTTGAAACGCTGGTACCAGTATCGGCAAGTCCACTCAGCTCCACATCCTCCTGTACCACATCACTCCATCTCTTCTCTAGCCCGTGCAGCGCCAGTTTAGCCCCCTCGATCTGGCCGAACAAAAGCTGTTTCGGTATGCGGTGGCTGGGCATGCGGGCTACATGACCCAGCCAATGCAGCCTTGCCCGCCAGAGGAGCTCACCGATGGGACCTTGCCCAGATCTTTCAAGGATTTGTGAGCTCTTCACATAATCCAGTCTGGTTAAACCCAGGATGGATCGTAGGCAGTCCAGCCCCAATGTTTCTAACCGGCGAAGATGTTCCATTAGGGGGGTCCACGTTTCGCAAGCGTAGAGAAGGGAGGGAATGACCGTGGCCGACAAGACATGAAGCTTCCACACAGTGTTACGCAACCAAATAAAAGATATTGCCGCTCGACTGATTCGGAGTGAGACCTCTGCTGTTAACCTGGAGCCGGTCATGAGCACACTGCCCAGGTATGGGAAACTCTCCACTCTTTCCACAACTGCCCTATCACCAATTGGGAGTTGTGGGAGTAGAGTGTCCGATGGAACAAAATACCCAGGCAGGTGCTTAGTTTTAGTGGGGCTGATGGTAAGTCCCCACCTCTTAGTGGCAAGTTCTAGGTTCAGCAGCAGCAGCGCCTCCAACTCCTCCTCTGAGTGAGCAGCGATAACCAGATCATCAGCATACATAACGTGGTTGAGCAATAGGAAGCCATCCCTTGACCGCACCCGGGCATCGATCACCCTCCCATTGTATCTGTACCAAATGGAGATTCCTCCGGTACAGCTATTGAAGGCTGCACGAACTACGTGGTCAAAATAGATGTTAAATAATGTGGGAGCCAGAGGACATCCCTGTCGCACCCCGAGGTCTACAGGGAATGGCTCCGACTCCAGGCCACGTAGTTTTACCCGGGCCCGCTCACCATCATGAAGGTCCTTAATGGTCGTTAGCAGATGGTCAGAGTCTCCGAAAGCACAAAGAACAACCCAGATCCCAGGCCTACTGATGGTATCATAGGCCTTGACCAGGTCAATAAAGCAGAGATGTAGGTCTTGTTGGAATTCCCTACACCTCTGCTGTAGCAGACGGACAGAAAATATGGCATCTGAGCAGGACCGCCCTTTCCTGAAACCGCATTGGGGCTCCGCAAGCCTCTCCTCAGCATACCTAGCAAGGCGATGTTGAATAATCCTTGCCAGGACCTTTTCCGGCACACTGAGGAGTGAGATGCCCCTGTAGTTGTTATAGTCTGTGCGGTCCCCCTTCTTAAAAAGGAGGTCCACCAGGGCATTCTTCCAATCCAGTGGTGCAAACTGTTGTTATGATGCCATGTAGGGCAGTGTTGGATATATAGGCCTTTTCCAAAATTGATATTAATAATATTTGCCGATAGATATGTTTTTTTTTTTAAAGTAAATAACAACCGCTATGACAAGCGCAGCAAACACAGATGGAAATCGTAAAAAGACCAATGAAAATAAATAAATAATTAGCTCCGGGGTGAAGAGAGTT